CCCCCCCCTCAGCTGCACCTCCCCCAGCTCAGTTTACAAGGGGGAGCTCGTAGAGATCAGCTCCGTAGTGAAAGGTTTTCTTGGCATTCTCGGTGCGACAGTGGAAAGTGGAGGCAGCCTTTTGGATTTGTGTCGAAGCCTGAGTGACTGGTGGAGCATTTCTGTGGCCACATGAGAGAATGCTGTCAGGTTTGGCTCTGCTGCTGCTCGTCTGCGTGCACATGCGGGTGCAGGGGAAGCCTCGCTCTCAGGTAGGGCCCGCTTCAATAATATATCATATTCAAATTACTTATAGACTCTCCTTGCACTATTTCTATTCTGTTGTATTGTGTTGCACTGTTGGAGGAGCCTGTGACCTAAAATGTTCATTGATATATCTACACTGTAGCTATATGTACAAATCACAATAAAAGCCTTGAATCACCTCTGCTGGGTCCTGGAGGAAGCTGGGAGAAGGTGGGGATAAACATTGATACTAACACTCTGGCTTTAAAGGTTGCTCTGCAGGATGTGTTTGTGTTTCTTTTGGACTCTTTGCAGGGAGCTTTTGGAAGTGGTTGATATCCCGTCGTGCATGCTGCGAAGAGAAATTCTAGTTGGGCTTTTGTGATTGAGGTTAGTTAGTAGTGTGCAGAGCAATACAACGGAATATTACCAATAAATATACACATATAGTTTGAGCAACTTTAAAGCAGATCTGTATCTCTGCAGTCGGGGTTAACCTGGGGATATCAAAATGACTTGAAGAGCCAAATGAATACCTTTTAAGTGCATGTATGTTCATAAGGGAAACAAAATTAGACGGTATGAAGATGTCAGGTAATCTGTTTCACTGACTGTAGATTTTTGTTTTATGTAGTTAGGGTTTAGGATTAGGGATAGCATGGTAAGTTAGTTAAATGTTCAGGTTTCATATCAGTATGTAGTGTCTCTACTGTGACATGTCTCCATACTTTAATGTTCAAAAAACTCTTTATTTTCCTCATACTGCCGGTGCTGCAGCACCTCTTTTCACCCTCTGTCTGAAACCAGAGCCCAGTCTGCTCTGATTGGTTAGCTGGCCGGCTCTGTTGTAATTGGTCAACCACTTAGAGATGTCCCCGCCCCTTAGCCTATCACGTACAATGTGTTGGAGCGCTAGCCAATAGAAGCACGAGTGTTCCATAGTGATGTCACTATGCTACGTAAGAAATCAAAGGAGTCCAATGGAGGGGACTTTGTGATTTTAGCCTTTGCAGACCAGTAACGTACACAAACATCTATAAAACACTACAGGAACTTATAAACCCTAAAAAGCATGATAGGGTTTCTTTAAGTGTAGGCAGCTGTGATGGACAGTCCATCTCTTTGTGAGAAAGGGCAGTTGCTCCTCACCGTCATGGGCTAAGTAAACTGCTCTGCGCTGTACATGCTTTGAGAATTATTTTATCTTTATTATTGTGAGTGGAAAAACTAAAAGTTAGAATTGGGGTTTCGGGACATCATCTAAGATATCTACATTTCACAGATTTAGATGTTCTGTAAGTAAGCCTAGTACTCATTTACAACCAGTTTTAGTGCTTGTGGTCAACACTGGACATTGTCACTCCGTAACTTGCGGTCCATCTACTGAGTGGAAGTATTTGCAGTATGGCTGTTTTCACTGTGGCTCCATTTGCTCTCTGAGAGGTTTATTTTTCCACAGCACATTCACAGGCTACTTGTGGGTTTAGATTTCCCTCCTAGTGGAGGACTGGGCCTGTCCTGGGACTATGAAGATGTACTTGGAACTCTATTAGGAATCGACGGCAGGCCTGAATTAGCCCTTGGCTCTGCTGGTTTTAGCTCACCTGTGTTTGCTGATGATTCATGAGGCGGCTGTGTTGTGCCTGCAGGTCTTTAATGCAAACTCAAGACGCGCCAAAGTCTTAATGAGGATGCCAGCTTTATATAACCTTAAATTACATAGCTATTAATTTTATTAAAAGGTTTGGAATCTGGCTATGGACAACATATTGGCAGAGTATCTCTTGCAAGGGGAAAAAGCTGTTTAATAGCAGTGTTAGTGGATGGAGAAATTAGGTTGACATTCGAGTTAAATAGAAGTCATACCATGTGCTGTTTAAAATAAATACTTAATCATCTGACATCACCTTGTAAGAGATCTGCCAGTCACTGCTGTTTGGGTCAAAATCTATTTTCCTTTTGACATATTTTCTATTAATGCCAACTCCTCCCTTTAACTTTAATCGATTAAGAAATATTGAATTTGATTTATTGGTCGGACAGTCATTCACACACTTTTGTCTTTGATCAATCAGACCTCACTGAGCAAACTTGTAAAACTCCCAATTACTTAAAAAAACACTTGTTTGAGATTTGGGATGGGTCGGTAAAAATCCAAACTAATCAACCACATTTTACTGCATGTTCGTGACAATGTACCTTTGTTTGGGGTCTTGGAGATCTCATAGTGGACATGTCACCAGTTCACAATCATGTTTATTTGAGAGCTGCTTAAAGATGGCCTGAGTGACCCTCAACAGATATTTGAGTTGTATCACAAAGTTCTCTCAGAAGCAGAGTTAGTGCAGCTCAGGTTAAAATAACAGCGACATAATATGACACTTGTGGAAGCTCCTACTTATAACACCATCTAGTCTTTTTGTGGATGTTCCTAGTAGGAAACAAATGCTTTACCTTGAAGTGTTGATGCCCAGCAGAGAGCATTATATTCCCAGAACAGTGCATCCATATCAGAGCAGTGATGTCAGGGGAAACCCTATGCGTATAAAAGGTTGTAGATCCACCAAGCTCAATGCTATTTCTGAGTGTTTAAAGAAGACGCTCTGGACTGTGAGGGCACTCATTTCTACACCTCTCTTCACCACTTGGCAACTCATCCTTATAGCTTGTAGGTTACCCTGCAGATATGATAACCTACTACTTATTTTTTACCAAGTTAAAAGACTTCCAAAGGCCATACTGAATATTTAATGGAACCATGACCGCCACTTGTTTTGTCCTCAGATCATCTCTTCCTACGTTACAGTAAATAATTCCAGCTTGTCTGTGCTCCCATTTTGGTTTGATACATGTCGCTATCGGTTTCATGAAATGCTATGTTGTGGAGAATGGAAATCTGAGAGATTATTCTCCACAAACCACAGCTTTTGTTTCGGTCTGTGGTTAAAAACCATGGTTAGACTTCCAGTTAGGGTTCCCGCCATAACAGAGCCAGAAGTGAAATCTGAGGGAAGGGGACATATTGAATAAATCTGCAAGTTTTGAGCTACGATGAAGTCACGTCTTCCACGTAGAACAATGCCTAACGTCGGAGTCAGCGCTTCATTCCTCTTGGTTTCAGATAACTTGTTTTAAATGGACAGTCTTGTAAATATGCATGTGATGGAGATATACCTGATATCATGGTAAATCAGTAGATCCCTTAACAGGTGATAAAGAAACATCATTGTTCTTTTGTAGGAGAATCCTTCAAGAGTCCAGTTTTGCAATCCACCATGTAATGCTCAGTACCTGAACTGACTGTAACAAGCAATTACATCCAAGATATTAAAACACCCACAACCCTTTATTTGACCCTGGTTTTTTGTTTGGGTTCTCATTTCTTTCAGTCAGAAAAAGTCCCTTTTTAATGGCTGCCTTGATGCCTGGGTGGCAAGCAGATTCCACTCAATCTTTCATAATTTAATCAAATCCTTGCGGCCCATTCTCTTCAACAAAAGAGTTTGATTCCACTTGCTTCCCTAGTTCATTTGTATTTCAGTCAGACAACTCACGTGTTTCTTAATATGTTTATTAGAAGCAGCATAGTTTGAGTTCGGCGTCTAGGCTCGGGCCTCATCACTCCACAGATTTACAAAGAACATTGAGTGATGATTAGATAACTATCCCCCGAGCCTACAGGTGGAAGCTGGGGTGGAGCTGGGATGGTGGGGGGGGCAAGCAGCAGCAAGTGAACGCATCAGCAATGTGACAGAGCTGCAGCATAGCGAGACAGAGGCAGGCAGACCTGGCAGCTTAAATAGAGCGGCAAGTTAAGGAGATTGTGTTTGGTTGGTTGTAAGAGAGACGCGTCACGTGGTGCTCGAGTTGACTGCCTGAACTAGCTCGTAGGCTTCGCCCCATTTGTGCCGGTTACCGTGAATTCATACAGTTGTGGTTTACCCATTAAACAACTTGTTTACATGGTGTGTAAGAGAAAAGTAGTCCGAGTTGTGTAGATAAGCAAATATCCAACTCTATTATATTATTTTTGTCTAAGGGTAAAGAGCAGGACAGAGCTGCTAACATTAGCCTAAACTCTGACAGCGTCCAGAAGCATCTTCCACCAGGACTGTGAATACTAACGAGTGTTTGTGGAAATCTATATTGGGCTTTTTTTCTGAGTCAATTTGTAACCCCATAAACAAAGGGTTTAATTAGGCGCTCCTTGCCCTTGGACGTACTGTAATGCTCTGTTACTTTTTGTAGGTGTTAATTAAGCTAACAATTACCGCCAATTGTAAATGTTATCACAGGAAGTTAAAAGCTAATTTGAGGCTATAAACAAAATACAGCACTGCCTCATGACTTACCACAACTAAGCTGAAGGCAGACGAATGTTAGGAGTGATGACGTTCAGTAGTCTCATTTAGCAACTTGTTAACAACCGACATATTTTATGTTGTGGAACAAAAGGTTAAAATCTGTTAAGCTTGTGTTTGCCACAGACCCTGTATCACACATTTAACCAGAACTCAACTTTAAAATAAGGGAAACACGTTTTATACCCCAGCGAGGAAGACATGCATTTATTTTAAAGATTAGATTGGACAATACATATTCATAATAGACACACTCTGTATCCAGTCCGGTGTAATCCTCAACAATAACTTCATCTCTCTTATATTGTGTACATAGCGTGCTTCATTGCCCTCTGGATGTAACAGTAAATCAGGGTAAAGGAGTGATTAAGTATGTGTATTAGTGAGAATGTCACATGTGGACTTGATGACATGTGTGTGGATTCAACCGATACAGATGTGTGCAAAGTGCTGACTGAAGAAAAATCATCGTCGCCTTCACCCGCTCATTAAAACCAGTTAAAGATCAGCAGCTACTGCACTCAGCATGTGGGGGGCAGATGTCCGCGACAACCACAACTTCATACGACAGAGAAGGAGTGTATTGACAAACCATTATTCTATATCGCAACCTAAACCAGGTTTTTAACCCTTATTTAATCACTCGATTCTCGTGTCTATGAGAGGAGATCTCAGTAATTTCATTCCCAGACTCAGCATCGTGTCTTGAGGTCACATCCACTATAAATTATCCGTCGTTGGGATGATTTTGCTTCTGTATTCTCAACCTGGAAGCCAAGTTTGGGCTTTATTGCATTTCCAGACGAGCTAGTGTGTCACAGCTGACCGAGTCATGATAACTTCATTGGTCATTTTCCCAAGAACATTACAACCTTTTTCTACGTGTGAAGAGCTGTATGAATCCCCAACGCAGCCCCCCTTTAACCCCACGCTCATAAATATCTTTTGAAATACAGCACTACCTCCATCCAGGGATTTTTACAGTAGGAGTAGAGCATGCTTTTATTCCCATGGGTTTAACATTAGGGGCTGTGCTAATATCCCAGAACGAGGAACTGTTGACAGATGAAGTCATGGAAGTTATTTGTACATTTTCTTAACAGAAGTGTAATTTGTACGGCATTTGAAAGAGACAGCAGTCGGTGTCTCAATGTTGTTTCACATTTTGCTCTCAAATGGAAAGCTGTAAAATAAAACTGCTAAGACTCAGGTCTGAAGGATCTGGTGGGATCAGCCAACATCCATGTGGATTTAAACCCGGGGGGCTTAACCACAGCGCCATCTCCAGACTAAGAAAACATCCTTTTATTCATAAATTCTTGTTTTTTTTGTGCTTTTATGCAGAAACTGAACCAGAAGCACGTTGCCATGTGAGCTGGTCTGAGCAAGAATTGTCATTATTTAACTCAAGGTCCCATGTCATGGCCATTTCTACCATTGTTGAGGTCTACTAGAATCGATTTATATTGTGAAATTTTCCAAACTCACATTGGTTTTTCAGACAGCATCTCTGTATAGTATGTGTATTCACTCTCTGTCCTACACGGCTTGTTGGAGCTCCTGCCCCCCCCTCCCTATGAGCCCACTGTGCTCTGATTGGTCAGCTCGCCCACTCTGTTCTGATGAGTCCACCACCGTTACAGCGGAACATCAGTGATTATGTGTTACAATGGCGTTAGGTGTTGAACAATCAATAAATAAAGAACACAGAATTATTAAATATGAAACATAGAATTTGTGTGATTATACTAAATGATTTACAAATAAACACCACTGCATATTTACAACTGTTACACATGCTGATGTAACGCAAATGTTTCCAACTTGGGATCATGATCGATGGCTACTGCCATATTTGCCAAACTTGCCTTTCATTTATATAATTAAACCATTTTTGGTTTGTTTTATCTGAGTGTTCCAGGGTATTCTCTGAATACCTTGAAGGCCCTGACGGTTCTCCACTGCATTTCATACA